AATAAGCAATGAAGGAATGGAAGGGAGAACGCCACGGATTGGTATGAAGGGATGGTTTTTTCCACTACATCTGGCCCTCTTCCTTTCAATTTCAAGAAAACAAATGACAAATAAACCCTCTATCTTACCTCTCTTGTCAGGAATGCTGACTCTGAAATTTCTCTGATCTCTCTCAGCATCTACATCCGCCATAAGGGGCCAACCATTTCGGCTCTGACCGGGACCTCCTTCACCTCCATCATCAGAGCCAAGGTTGAATCCACTGGTATCATAACCCAACTCCTCCCAATCTTTCAGCATGCCAACCACATCTTTTTGTGTCATCGGTTTTGGTGCCCCTCCCCTCTTGCCGCGATCTTCATCCCAAGGAAGTAAAACCAAGATATTTTTGCCCTTCCATGGGACTTTCTTCTTCAATCGTGGCGCTAGCGGGGTAGTGGGAGATGGCGTCGGATTAGGCAGAGCTTTGGCTGCCCATTGTGCCATCAAAGGTGGAGGAGGAAGAGGTTTTTCATCTACTGGTGTATGATTTGCCGAAGTTCTCTGCAAGCCATTTTCATTTCTGACAGACATATTGGAGGATTCGTCGCGTACTGAAGAGGCAATATCTGCTTGTGTCAAAGTTTCCCCGGTATCCTTTCGTCTATGACCACTTCCAAAATCCCACCTTGGTTCGTGACTCGGTTGTGAATGTCTTTGTAACGTGGGAGTTCTGGGATCGGATTCTAAAGCCGAAGAATTCGCTGCGCCCCCTGAGATTGATCCGCTCAATGAAGAGTTCTCACTTTCTCCAGGATCGTCACTGAGCCAGTTGTTCCTTTCTGTTGATCCGCCTCCTGTATGTTGACGTATCCAATCTTCGGTCAATCGATGTGCTGGACGTCGAGCTCGGTTGGCTAGTACGGCTGCGCTGATGAGACCGTCGTGGGACACAAAATCCGGTTCTGTCTGAGACCTTGTGAAAGCTGGAGGAGGACGCAAGAACGGCGTGTGCAACTCAAGATGACGAATTGGCAGATCTTCCGAGTCTTCTGAAGCTTCACTATATGCACTTCGATAGAGTGAACGACTTCCCACCGAAGATCCTACTGGGTGCTGATACGGAGATCCCCAACTAGCTGTAAAGAATGCACTTGTGTCTGTTCGAGGTTCTGATGGAGGGCGTGAAGGCGGAGTTCCAAAAAGATCGATGGTATGACCGTATATTGTTGGTTCTGGTAGAGGTGGAAGAATAGGAGACGACCCTCCACCCTCAGCAGTTGAAGTAGTTGACAACGCAGGAGATTTCGATGGATCAGGATATTGTAGTTCGAATCCTGCCTCTGCTGTCGTCGTACGAGGAGGTGTTGAAATCAATGATTGAATATTGACTACGAAAAGAAGGAAATGAGCGGATTAATAAAATTCATAAGGTCATAGGAATAGAAATTCCAAATCTCCAGTATTTTGCCGAATGAGGGAATGAGAAATGAGGATGCAGGCGGATAACAGGAATAATAAGAAAATAAAAGTATTTAAAAAAGGAACAACTCACCAAAAGTTTTAGAGAACAGGGCAGACGATTTTATATTCGTCTGTCACTGTATCTCTTCCTTCCTTTTGATTTTAAAAGAAAATCAACAATTGTCAAGTACCTATTATTAAATTATGTGAGATGCCTTTCTTCACTCGGACCTCTTGTATTATATGTTGTTGGGTATTTGGTTTGTGTTTGTTGATAAGAGTGAATTGAATGTAAATACAAATTCGGCCTTCATTTCACTTCTTCACTGCGTCCATTACCATACTGTAGAGATAGAGTACATTGTAGTAGGTATTATGTACCATTTACCGTAGAATTGTCGCGACGCGTTCGGTAATTAAAAAATGAATGGAGCGAGTAAAGCGTCTGGGTCCCTTGGGGTTGGTTGGCTGACAGGGAATTGGGGGAACTGGGGGAACTGAGTACAAATTATACCATATAAAATAGCAAAGGTGTACTTCGAGTTGTAGGTAAGGTCGAGAAGCAAGAGAGGGAAGTTGTCTTGTAGTCGAAAGAGGAGTATTCGATTCAGTATCTTATGATTCCCATGACATGACAATCAAGATGTTAAGAATCAGGAATTGGATAAAGAAGGAGAATGGGAAAGAGTCTTGCTGGCAACTTTTATTGATAGTAACCGTACATACAGTACAAGAAGAATTGCAATCGTACAGGGGAAAGGAAATGGAACATCTAACAACCAACGGCCAACGAAAGAGGTATATTGGAAAGAGACGTGATACCCTTCCTTACCTACCTAGGATTACAAGTACGACTCTGAGTCCCTACATCAAATAGTTCTTCAAAATAGATTTAGTATGTTGCAAAATCCCAGAAGAATCAATCAATAATGAATGAATGCATTGACAGCAGTAAAGGGGGCTTTTGATTAATATTTCTTAGTCTTCTTAGGTTCGAGCACAAGGAGCGAGCCAATACATTGAAGAAGACAACCATAACAATAATCATCACTATATCAATCAATTGGCAAGACGCTCCGCTGGCCCTCCGGGAGCCACTGCCGTGGAGGCAGAATATTTCAATCAATTCAATCATAATACCCAAATATCACAGGATTCAAAAAAACAAACAAATAAATAAGCAATATATCTTCAAGCAAAATAAATCTCACCCATCAACCTCGGAAGTCTTACAATCTCTCCCGGGTAATCATGGCCAAGTAAAACGTGGAGCTATCCCATTAGTTCAGGGTCTTTTCACGGACAGCTACAGACAGCTAACAACTACCAACTAACACCACAGCTAACGGTCCGACCCGCAAAAAGTACGCCATATGCGTGGTCTCGGTTCAAGAGCCACATTGTTCCATTTTTCACCATAATCCATTAGACGAAGATGAGGGACGAGAGAGGGGCATTCATGATAAAAGCTTCAATGGTAAATTCAAATATATGCGCAAACATGGAGATAAATCTTCGTCCCTTGCATGAGAAAATTCCCCTAGGGCAGTAGATGAGATCAGAGATGCACAAAAGGCGTTGCCAAGCCAGCATGGCATTGCAAAAGAGCGGAGAAGGAAGAAGATAAAACAAATGGTATCTCGAAATCCAAAGCTAACAATCTAATCGCAAATTCACAGTCATATTCTTCCCTCACTTCAATATCAAATCAATATGCGAGCGAACGATCCCCCATATTTCCACAAACTTTCCCCTTTCTTGATGCAGACCCAGGCGATAATTTCGGAGCTCCGAATCTAACAGCTCAAGGAGTATTTACTGCTTCGGTCACTGTTCCAGACTCCCCAATGAGTTTCATCCGCGACGGATCCGTCGGAACCGGTAGATACTGGCTTCCATGGCTCATCGAATGCCTCGAAGGAGAAAACATTTACACCCCAATCCATTATGCCACAGATTGCTTCACTCCAGAAAGTTTGTGCAGACGATGTGCCTGGGACGGCGTTTTGGTATTTTGAACCTGCTGTTGGCCAACCTATTGAGAAATCATGTTAGCATATAGGTAGGATTTGAGAATGGAAATAGACCATGGCGTTGAAAGCGTCATGCCTAGGACAACTTCGGATACTGTGAACTCGAAAGTAGATGCAAAGAAATATATATCATACCAGTCTCTCCAACCCAAAGTTCAGGTCCATCAGTAGCAGATCCAGCAACATCCTGAATGTGACCAAAAGCTTGCATAATATCATCAAAGAAACTATGCGTTGCATTCTTCAATTCTTGTCCCTGCCAATAACTGAAAGCATTGCACAACAAGATATCCGCACCGCCCTTGATAACATCATCGGCTGTACCATCCATATATTTATTCCAACTATCTGCCGTTCCAACTTTAAAGTCTCCATTCAATGCCTTCTTGACATCCTGAATCTTCTCGAGAAGTTGTTCACCAGTGAAGTTTCCACGATAGAGAGATTCCGAACCGACAGTGATGGCGTAAACCTGATCGCTATATTGAGGCGCATACTTGACTACTGCTGCTTTATCCGCGGCGAAGGATTCATCGGTATCTGGCCTTATTCACAATGTTAGCTGCGCATCCTACGTCCGTACATCCATTTTTCATCACATCGGCATACCAAATACCCAAAACAACCTTGAAGCCCTTCGACTTCGCAGCCGGCAAGATTTCCTTCGCAGTATCGCAATCGCTTGCTGCATATCCTCTCACGATCCTAGCAGTGCTCCCTTTAGAAATCGTGTCGAAATCCGCTTCGTAATCGGCTGTAAATTTACATGTACCATCTGTCTTCTTGTCACCAAGAGCAAATCCCAATGTACCTGCTGCAGTAGCAGTGGAAAGAACTCCAGCGAGTGGAAGAAGAGTTGCGAGGGAGCGCATTGTAGTTTAAGGTTGTGAGTTAAGGTTAAAAGGACTGTGGGGTGTGGAGATGGAGGGAATGCGCGTTTGCTGTTTGTTTACGTGTGTATGCAAAGGGAAAGTAAATAAAAGAATGACTTGCGAATTAAATCGACTGATAATTCATGGACTGTTCAAACACTTAAGGAGTGGCAATTGCAATGGCAAAATAGATGGTGAGGTGAGTGAGGTCGGTTGATAAATTGTATGAGAAAGTTAATTGAGATTTGAGGTCGTACAGTATCAAGGGGGATTTTACGCTTTGCCGGAAAGGATTGAGTGAAGAGATTGGATGGCTTGGCGGGGTTATTATTATTATTATTGCTACAAGAGCGCTTGGCATTGAAGAAACACGAGATGAGAAACATGAGATGTAAAATGAAATGATAATGAAAGGGGGCGATCTTGGTAAGAAAGATATCAAACATTTTCAAACTTAAATTATCATTAGTATATCCAATGTTCATCTTCCGTGGTTCAATCTACCTGTCCAATTCCTCTTCCATGCATGTAGGAAAGATAACAAGTCAAAAACGCCCATCCTCTGCTCTCAGTAGTGTTGTATTGTACAGGTTCGATACTAAATATGAGATCCCCCCCAATGCAATTTGTACTCGTTCATCATATGTCTCGTCTATTCAACAGCAGTTGTTGAAGTTGGCTTTGGTGCATACATCCTAAATTGAAGGAAGATAACTGCGTCTTCAACAATCGTTCCCAGAGATCCGATGAGCCATGGGGTATTAATGATGAGATATTCTTTCTCTAATGAGTGGAAGAGAATACCAGCACCATATGTTAAGTTTCCCATCAATGAGAGAAGGAAGAAAAGAAGTGCGAGACCTGTGATTATTAGCTTGAGGTAATGTGGGAGGGCCAAATAAAATCGCATACCGTCACAAGACTTTTCCTTGTAGTTCTTCAAGATTTGAGGAATTCGAGCGCTTGATAGATGATCGGATTAGCCCGCGTCCTTCAACTTTCTTTTCTCGGGAAATAACTCACCCAAGGTAGCAAATTGCACTAAAGTATCCAAGTACCTCTGCGCCAACAGCAACTTCGTTCGTCTTAGGAACATCCCCTCCATTCTCTGGTGTAGGTGTCCAGACACCACTTCTCCAAGCAATAGCCCATCCAGCTGTTCCAGCAGCAATAACCAATAAAATGCTAACAATATTCTTAACCCACGCATTTGCATCTGGTGAATCATCCTCTTCCAAAATCTTGGTCAAGGTATCTTCATGACGTTGACTTCCACTCATCGCTGAGGAGCGTCTTCTATGCGATCCTGGAAGTCCAATATTACTGTTACTTCGTCGACGGGCCAGAAGAGGATCTTCCTCAGTTGGGGCAATGGATTCCGTTTCTTGGCGTTTCTGAGCATTGATTTTGTTGTAGTATAAACATTGTGAGATAAGTACAAAGTCCGCAATGCAGAAATAGATGGCGAGAACAGTTACTGTCGGGACAAGATCTGCCCAAATTGCACCTGAAGACGAGTCAATGTACGCACGTGACAATGAAAGACTGAGATCTTTGATAGACAAGTTGGTAGGTTGGAACAAGAGTCATCAATATCAATATCATGGTTTGAGGGCCACGGCATGATTGTTCAGATCGTGCGACCGTCCTCAGAATCCATCATCTAACTTACCAGCAAGATTCGCAACATCGCCAATAAACCAAACTGACAAGAAAGCCAATGATACTCCATCGGCACTCTGTGACCGATAGTTCAAAATAAGTTGTGGTACCTAGAATGATCGAATCACATCAATATAAGAATTCATGACACAATACCATAAACCCTCCATTCTTTGGTTGGGCATGAGGGATTCAAAACTGGATACAGAGGTTTGACGAACCAACAAAAAGATCCAAGTTGCTAAACTGATACTTCCAAAGATGCCCGATAACGCTTCTTGTACGGATAAATCGTTTGATAAGGTCAATAACGACATCATGATGTCTATAAATTATATCTTTATATTTTCGGGTTGAATATAGTTTGAGGGCATCGATGATATTGATGATATTGATGATAAAGACGATAGATAAATATGAATGACGAGAACTCGAGAATTCGAGTATTCGAGAGTAAATATTGTTATTGATATCACTTGGTCAATGTCTCAATTGAAATCACGGAATAAGAAAATTTGAGGATGATATGATTGGGTGAATGAAAGAAAATGTTTTTGTCTGAGGTAGTACAAATGGATTTTCCGGGCGATTTGCAGATTCTGCGATAAGATCGTGATTGGGCCAATAGGAAGTGTCCTTTTAAATACCCTTAATCTTGAGTTTTTTATCGGACTACGGTATTACATCATCGGATGTGTCGATTGAATGAATGGATGAATGGCTTGTGAATAACTTCAATGTCTCAACTATCTTTTCTCTCTGCTTGAAAGCGGTAGGTAAGGTATAAATAAACCCCCTTTAGATGAGACAACTCACAACAAATTTATCTTTATATTTATCATGATCATCGCAGAGACGACAGGTACAGAAGCGCAACTTCTCCATGATGTTTTGCAATCAATCTTGTCGATCTAGGTAGACTCCAGTATCAGAATTGGCAAATCTACATGCGACCGTCAAGTTTAGAGATACGCGGACATTGTTATCATCATACCGCTCACTACTCACTGCTCACTGCTAACTTCCCAAACCTCATTTCAACTACAAACGACACACAAGCTAGCAGACTTCGAACCCTCGAATCAAGCCCAGTCTCCATCCACACCATCCCAAAAACGACATCATTCCTTCAACCAGCCTCTACCTTTCGAAAACTTACTCCATTCACCATGATTGCAATATAGCCACGCCTACTACACACATACAGGACGAAGATTTATCCCCACACTGGTCAAGATCCTGCGGGAACAAAATGGCCTTGAAACCCATGGAAAGGGTTAGCAAGAGTCACTTTGTAGTATCCATTTGGCTGCTTTCCTATAAGATTCTACTTTCATCTCCGTGCCGGAACTTTCATTCGCCCAATCATTTGTAAATCACATGCCTTGACGGTACTCTTCAAAGGCCATACATACTACGGCATACACCAGTCTGAATGTAAAGACACAGCAAACAAAGCCAAGATTAGAATGTTATGCTGGAATCCCACCTGCTTAAGTTTGTGACACCATATCTTCCATCTTCATATCTAGAGGTAGGATGTTGTTCCTATGTGCACGCTCTCAGTATAATAGGCACTGCAGCATATATTATTCAAAAGGTTTAAGACTAGTGTCTTTACTTAAAATAAAACTCACACAACTATGAATGCGAACAATTCGATCCTCTTAGCCTTTTTCAAAAGATGCAGGCCAATTTCAAATGCCAACCGAGATACACGAATCATTCCCATCCACAAACCACTATTGACAACGAGCTACGGTACAAGACGAGAACGGTCCCAATAAGATATTTGCCAGACACTACCAAGCGGGGAATTCTTCCAATTCATCTCTTTCGTCTTATAAATCGAAAAATAAGCGGTTGATCCATCATTCTCACATCCCTAGCACAGAATGAAAACACCATACCGCAAATTGGTGATTCAGAGCGAGCATTCCCAAGTATAAAAGCTGCTGTTATATAAACATTCAAGGATTTCCAGCCTAGCCCAGCTGTTCGCTTTGTGTAAAGTCATAATCCTGTCAAGCTGTATAGTATATATAGTATAGCTCTGATTCCAAAGATCAAACTTTGTTTACCATTGCTTGATTTGAAATTTAAAAATTGCTTGGAACCTTTCGTTGAAATGTTGAATTGTTGAATCGTTTCCCCTTGGACTATAAAGATGTCGATGCATCTGTTTGTATTTTCCAGACATCCATATCACGGTCTTGATAAGTTAATTCCACGGATCCCTCCCAAAACATAATCACAGAAATATTAAACCCTATCTTATCGGTGTTCAATCAATACTTTCATTTCAATTACCATGTCCAACCTTCCCTCCCTATCAACAATCTACGTAGTAAAAACAGCAACATCATACTCCTTCAACTCAAACTCAAACTTTCCCCCCGCCCCCGCCGTAACATTCTTCACCGTCTTAACCACCACATCCTCCCCCCCGTAAACATTCATCGCATTCCCCTCCGGCGCATTCAACACCGTAAGGGTCCCCACCGCACCAGCATCCACACCTTCAAAATCAATCGAGAAGGGTACCGGAGCGGTGGTATTGTAGATTGCAGCTTTGAAGACGTATTCCCCGGGATCATTGACGCCGATGACGTAGAAAGCGGGACCGAAGGGGGAGGTGCCATTACCGGAGTTGGAGACGCTGAGGGGAACGGTGGCGTTGAAGCGGTTGGTGGAGAGGAGTTTGAGTTGGTGCCAGGAACAGCTGAGGACGGTTTCGGCAGGGTCGGCGCTGAAGGTTATGAGATCGGGCTTTTGGGGGGGGAGGATTGTTAGTATGAGTTGTTTATCTGAATGGTAGTTTGGGATCAAGAATCACTTACGGTCCATTGGAATGAATTTATGTTTTGGAATCCAGGAGCATACGAGGCTCCGAGGACGATGTCCCCATTTCTTTCCATGCCGAGAAGGTAGATGGCTTCACCGACTGCACCTACCCAGGTTCCGTAGTCTAATTTGGCGGCGGTCCAGTCGACAGGTACACCATTTGCGTTTGGTTGGATGACGGCATACTCGCCTAGTAAGATGGGGTAAGATCGATTTGCGTTATCGAAGAGTTCGAATTGAACTGCGAAATCATCTGGTCTGAGATATTGATGGAAATCGGTTCCAGATGTATGAGGAGGGCCAACAGAGAGAAGATCTTGAGCAGAAGAGATGACCAGGATATCTGGATACTTAGCATGGATGGCGTTGAAAAACATGGGCCAGCGGTAGGCAATATATGAGGGTTCTCCTCCACCGAGGTTGTCTTCGTTGCCTACTTCCACAAAGTTGATTTTCCATGGCTCGGGGTAACCAAGGGAAGCGCGAAGAGCTCCGTATGTTGTGCTGGTATCGCCCATGAGGAACTCAAGTTCGTTCATAACATCATCAACATATGGTTGCAGTTCTGCTTCAGGTACAACCAATACTGGTGTCTCGTAGTTATTGAGGTAAAGACCGGCCCAGACTCCTAAGACTGGCTCGACATTGAGATCGGTGCACCACTTGAAGAGGTTAGCTGGAGTATCTGTTTGGTTCGGAGTGGGAATGAAAGCTCACGTTCATGTACTCAATCAAACCAAGTCCATCAGTGCTAGATTGTCACAAATTAGTATCAAGAGATGGATAGGTCAAGACATGTTTGTAATAAAAGCCATAATGCTCACTTTTGGTAACCCCAGTTTCCTATTGAAGCGTTAGTCAATACATTCGTGAGTAGATTGAATTCGGGTTGCTCAATATATACCTGGTCTTCCTGGACGATCTTTGAGAGGGCCGATTGTCTCATTCCATGCCCATCGGTAACCGTAAGGGTCTCCCTCACTAATTTCAACAACAATTAGCAATGCCTACAAGAAATGGGACAACAAAAAATACGTACATGTTATTTCCTCCTGGAATTCTGAAGAAACTTGGGTTCAAATCTATCATGGCTTGCACAAGCTCTGGTCGAAGACCATTTGGTCTGTCATTGTGAGTTGGTGGGAAAAGACTGATGAGATTGAAGTTGAGGGAATGTCCACTTTCAAACTCGATGGTGAAGTTGTTGTTGACATCTGGAGCTGCAGTGGTAGGCTCGAGAGTAAATGGAAATTCAGTCCATTCTTCAGAGGTGGAGTTGGATGGTATATCGACACTTGCAAAAACGGTTCCAGAAGCTGCACCGACCAAGCTTGCCGTGAAGTTTCCAGTGTATGCACCCAGAACCCAAAAACTTCCGGTATATTTTTGGGGCTGGACACTGAATCCCCACCATCCGGGATTGGAGAGTCCAATTGTCCCTGTGCTATTTGCATATGTGCCATTGGATGATGCACGAACATTGACTGATGTAGGCAATGCTGATGATAATGGTATCGATGTATTTTGTAAGGTCAAGACTGAACTTCCAATTGCTGTCCATGGCTCCAAAGTAGATGCATATTCTCGGTTTCCTTGAAATGCTCGATTTTGAATCATTTCGGCATAGATTCCACCATCACCAGAATGGTTGATGTCCTCAAACATGAGACCATATGCTAATGGAGAAGAAGCATTCCCACCACTTGCGGATGCAGTGATATTGATGGCACTGGCAATGCCAGCAAGCACCGGTAAAACAGAAAGACTAGAATATAACATTTTGGAAGCTCGAGATTGAAACTGAATGCAACCTCATAGCAATGATGAAAAAATGTCACATAGCATGAAGTTCCCAGTACTATATATACCTCGGAATTACGATTTCCCAAGACTTCACGTATGATTCTTCCCCATGCATCTCGGAATAACATAGGACATCGACCCACAAGTAGCTATAGGTAGATATTGACCCGAATATCTGCAATCGGATGTCAATCGTGGCAATTGCAGAAAACATGCCAAAATGAAGCTATTTCCTAAGCGATCGAATGCCGACAACATCTCTCCGCATTTCGCAAGCTTACGGCATTGATAGACATGAAAGGAGACTTCCTATTGATGCGCATCAAAGTTTTCGCGAGCGATGCAAGTCCTTGCAGGTCCTTCTTTTTCCACTTTCAGATTTGCATGGGCTGTCTGCATATTTAGTTACCGCACCAACTTCGGGGCCCCAGGGGTGGAGTTTGTGGGGAAAGTGATTCTTAAAGTTTCGAGTCTTTGCGGGGTGAGGATTGTAAATTGGAGTGAAAGTTGGTCAGTAGAGAGGAAGTAGGAAAATAATAATAGATGAAGTGTAATAAAAGTTTGAGTAAACACGTCTTAGGAGATGTGCCCGGTGAGATCTACTCGCCATCTCATCACTCCCTAGGTATTTGCAGTATATCTGAAGATACAATGCATTCCCACCAATCAA